TTTGAGTAACTGGAGCAACTTGATTTATCAAGTGGGTTTAGTTGCTTTTTTGGTTTCTTACAGTGTCAAGAAAGGTGTTAACCTGCACTGGCCTGACTGTGAGCTGTGTGAAGTTAATATTGGCTCCCTTTTTCTTACTGTGAATCAGTTTGCAGGTCTAGTTTCTTTCTTCTAAAAATTTTTTTAGAAAAAGGAGTAAAAAAGTTAGTAAAGCAATGTATACCTCTTTCCTTGATGTTTCTGGGTAACTTGTTATATGCATATTGAAAGTGTTTAGTAGCTTGGTTCAAAGAATATGTTGTTTTCCTTATATATTTGAACTAGTTTTCTTTTTCCAAGAAAATTATCAAAAATGGAAATTTTTTGAAAAAAAGGATCAGTGAAAAGATTTTTTTTTTTATTCATAGACCATTAATTATTTTTTTAAAATTTTTTAAATAATATATATCATTTTTTTAAAAAATAAATTTAAATAAAATTCTATTTATATTTAATATAAAATTTTATTTATATTTAATATAAAATTTCATTTATAATCTTTATTAAATCAATTTAAACATATTTAAAAATAAATTTAAACTCTATAAAATAAAAAAAATTCATTATCAATAATTGAATATTTTTTTACATTTATAGATATTCTTTTATATTATATGAATCAATTGTAATTTTGTTTGAATAATAATTTAAATAATAATCTAATTTTTTTTCCTTCTGTCAGGTTAGTTATATATACTTTATTAAACATTTGTAAACTATACATATTAAATAAAACATTAAAGCTAATTATCTAATTAATTTACTTGTTTTGGTTATTTTATCTTTCTAAGTACAACTTTGGAAGTGATTATTCATTTCATTAGAAGTTCAGATAAAAACTTTTTCAACTTTTAATATCATTGCCTATAAATTACTACTGCAAATTACTCTTTTGAGCTCTGATAGAAATCAAAACTTTAATCACTTCATATCATATTTTACACCATTTAATAGGATTTCTTTTAACTTCTTGTTTTTGATTCTTTTTTTATTATATATCAACTTCTTACTAAATTGGCTTTTTGTACTCTTGCTTTTTCTTTCCTGATTCTGTATATGCACTTATTTCTTAATCTTATTGTATTTGCAGATTTCTGATATCTGTTTTTACTCAATCACTTTTTTATATTTCATATTTCATATTTTCTTTTGGAAGTAGCTATATACTTTTTTCTGTATTTTCATTATTCATCTTCTTGTCTCTTTTTCAATTCTCTTATTACAACACTTAAAATCAGCTATTCTTACAATTAGATCTTCCTCTATTAGTTCTATACAAAAGTCAAGTGTATCCTAACTAGTTTTTGATATTATATTTGTCAATTTCTCCTATTTTTATCCTATTTTCTATCATTAAGTTTAACTCTTTCTCTTTGAATTCTTTATGCTTTCTATTTAGAGTTTTCTAAATCCTTTGATAACTTCTTTCATTTCTTTTTTCCATGCCTTGCTTTACTGGGTTTTATAAGTTGGATATTCTAGCAAGTGTTCTATTGTCTCTTTTTCTTGGCCATACATAATACATTTCACTTACTTATACAGATATGGTCTTCTTAGAGCAAGCTTAGTTAATGTCAGTAACTCATCATTTGTCAATTTAATAAGAAAGCTTCTATTTTGTGAGCTCTTAAAGGAGGTGTTCTATATATGTTCATTCTTAAATTGTTCCTATACTAGGTCCCATATATATTTGTATTGATCTTGGATTTACTAATTCTATCGCTTTTCAGTTTTATCTTAAGTTGTCCATTGATAGACTCCATTTGCACTAATATTAATATTCGGTGAACAGAAACTTCAACTTATTCTAAATAAAATGAATAAAATAAAGAACCATACCCCAAAATTACATACAGTATATGCATCGCATGAGGCTGCTCTTTTGGGGCTCAATGTCATATTATAGTTTGAGAAATAAATGTTTTATTATATGCCGAAAGAACGTAGTTACGGGGATATACATACCAAGATCCAATACAGAAAATTTTACGATCATACTTTTTATTTGGCAACATAAAAATCGAAACCTATTAAGTAGAACCAGGTAAATAATAGCAAAACTTTATGACGATTCTAAGGCACTATTCTGTTTCGCTTGTCTTCAATACTATTTTCAGTATCCTCGCATATCGTAATTCAGAGTTTTTTTTATCGGTATCTTCATCGAACTATGGAACATCGGCTTGGTCAACTCTGATTTCGTTTGTTTAAAGTTCATTCTTATTGCAGACTGGTATAAAGTGGCCATATCGTTGACTATAACCTAGAAAAGGTATATCAAGGTTAATAATAATAAACACATAATATCCACACAATTGATCGTCCGCTTACCCAAATTGTGTTCATGACCTGATAACACTGCAAGACAGTGCCCCACGATGTGGAACCCCTTGGAAGCCCAAACTCTCCAATCAATATCATGCGATAGATCCCTTCAAACCGAAGATCCATCACAGGCTCTTCCCAAGAACCCTGAGAACAAAGAATAAAATTGCCAATATGGAAAACAGGTGGCATCATATTTATTCACAAAAATGTACTTACCAATCACCTGCAGCCACAGATGACCAGATTATCTTCGCCATCCTTTATTGATTTGTCTAGGGCGCTTTTCATCATTTTGCCAAGAGAGACAAGATCTTCCGAAACAAGTGGATCTCTCGTTTTAAGTGATTTTACCTCGCCTAGGATTCGTTGTCATAACTGTAAAGTCTGGCTTCATGCCCAGCAGAAACGAATCAAAGGTGACTTGTCTATTATTCTTAAAAAGGGGTCTTATTATCGGATTGACATTTTTAATAGCGTGGGTGTCCTCAATGACATTATTTCTCGTGAACGAGGTTGTCAATCCTGTAATAAAATAAGAATAAATTCATTTTGAACAGAAAGTTTTTATTGTGGTTTTCACGAAACATACAAATCCCTAAATATCTCTACAATTATTTTTTCTTCTTCGGTTATTATCTCAAACTCTCATAAATAGCGCCTTGCAACTGCTTGACGTTTTCTGCGATTTAGTCTCTCACATGGGATCTGAAAACAATAATAGACTCACATAATCAGAACCGGCCTCTTCAAAAGAGATATAATAGCTTAACGCATTACCTTAATAATGTTTGCGGACAAAATCATAAATCTTTTCCAGATTTTGAAATTCGGAAAAAAGCTCTTCCCACAATTCGTTGTCGAAACATTCGCACAATCCGTGGGAACTTTCTTCCTGAAAAACAAACACATGACTTAAAGCCCTGTAAAAAGAGAGAAATGCTTAGTCATGGTATATTTATTACTAATATTAAATGGTACCTCGATAGCACTCAGGACGACCGCCATGGATTCGCATTTTTTAACTACTACTGCACGATACTCAAGACATATCTCAGAAATGTCAATGTTTCTTACAACCCACTATTTGGAAAGAGAGGAATAAAAAAACAACTGTAATATTTCACTGATATCACGTGGTGCATAAAAACAAAACATTTACTCGAGTTGAATCTTCGTTTAGGTACCACTCAGGAATACCAGGACCAGTGAGGTAACTTATATAGTGACCATTATTCTCAGTTTTTATAAACTCTTCGCTAATAGCTGAATCGGGAAAGGGTACATACAAGGAAGTTGTCGTCGTCGCGGATGGGCTCTCATTCGGGAACATTCCATAACTGACGGTGCTGCACTGTGCATACCCGAGGTGAGAACCATTTTTGCTGCAGGCTATATATTAACAACACAATGGAAAATACAACTACCTTATCTTCTGGAGTATGTGGTTGTTCATCATCTTCTCCACATCGATGTTTGTATGAACGTGCATTTTCCATACCTTCATCGTCTTCTGAGTGCTTTTCCGATACTATTCTTAATTGAGTTCAAGGCATAGTCTATTTTTTTCTGGTCGAAGATTCTATGAGCCTCATTTCCCATCAGAGTACGATCAGCAGAAAACTGAATCTGCGAACCGTAAAAAACATAAAGATAATATTGCATTTTGTACAAATTGATACTTAATTTCTTAATATACACCAATCAAGATATCAATGCTAGGCACGTATTTTAGCTTGCTTTATTCTCAGCCCCAATAATTTATTCATTGATCCGATTTTTTCTGTTTCAACACTAGTCCAAAACGATTTTACTTCTTCACTTTGTGCTTGAAGCTGTCGAAGAATGAGAGGAATGGTTAAAATTGTCATGTCAAAATATGAAGGTAGCAAAAGTGGGCCATTAGAGACTGCGAATGAACACGTAGCTCTTGGCGCTAAGACATATAAGCCTTTGGCCTTCACACAGATTTAGGAGGAGCCCACCGGATATATTAACCCATTCCCAGCCTGATGCGTAGCCAGACCACTTAGGTGGTTGTTTCGACACGTAGCCCAACTCCTTCCCTATCTCTATATACTAATAACAAGTTGAATGTAATAGATAAACTTTCCTTTAGCGTTCTTTGAGTGGCTTTCTTCCACTTTTCGTCTGTTGTGGTTGTTGCAACATACGACACGAACTTGGATATCGTAAATGCTCATAATTCTTGTCAAAGGAGAAATCATCTTTCTACGAAATTTCAAGATGGAAAGACGGCTGAGGTTATAACCTTTAAACTGTAATTATATGGTTTAATATTTTTTTTAGTGCAAAGAAAAATGTATTGCGAAAAAACTCTTTCCCGTAACCAACTCAAATCTTAAAAATTTCCTTTTTTGGAAAATTTTTGAAAAAAACACCAAGGAAAGATGTCTTTTCGCAATGGAAACCCCAAGACCACAACCAATGTCCCAACAAGGACAGAACGCACAATAAGGTATGAGAAAAGAACAAGCAAAGACA